TGACGTACACACACTGTGCGTACGTGTGCCTGCGTACGCATCAGGTACCTACAAGTGACGTACACACACTGTGCGTACGTGTGCCTGCGTACGCATCAGGTACCTACAAGTGACGTACACACACTGTGCGTACGTGTGCCTGCGTACGCATCAGGTACCTACAAGTGACGTACACACACTGTGCGTACGTGTGCCTGCGTACGCATCAGGTACCTACAAGTGACGTACACACACTGTGCGTACGTGTGCCTGCGTACGCATCAGGTACCTACAAGTGACGTACACACACTGTGCGTACGTGTGCCTGCGTACGCATCAGGTACCTACAAGTGACGTACACACACTGTGCGTACGTGTGCCTGCGTACGCATCAGGTACCTACAAGTGACGTACACACACTGTGCGTACGTGTGCCTGCGTACGCATCAGGTACCTACAAGTGACGTACACACACTGTGCGTACGTGTGCCTGCGTACGCATCAGGTACCTACAAGTGACGTACACACACTGTGCGTACGTGTGCCTGCGTACGCATCAGGTACCTACAAGTGACGTACACACACTGTGCGTACGTGTGCCTGCGTACGCATCAGGTACCTACAAGTGACGTACACACACTGTGCGTACGTGTGCCTGCGTACGCATCAGGTACCTACAAGTGACGTACACACACTGTGCGTACGTGTGCCTGCGTACGCATCAGGTACCTACAAGTGACGTACACACACTGTGCGTACGTGTGCCTGCGTACGCATCAGGTACCTACAAGTGACGTACACACACTGTGCGTACGTGTGCCTGCGTACGCATCAGGTACCTACAAGTGACGTACACACACTGTGCGTACGTGTGCCTGCGTACGCATCAGGTACCTACAAGTGACGTACACACACTGTGCGTACGTGTGCCTGCGTACGCATCAGGTACCTACAAGTGACGTACACACACTGTGCGTACGTGTGCCTGCGTACGCATCAGGTACCTACAAGTGACGTACACACACTGTGCGTACGTGTGCCTGCGTACGCATCAGGTACCTACAAGTGACGTACACACACTGTGCGTACGTGTGCCTGCGTACGCATCAGGTACTTAGAGTTGGACACTTGTTTGAAACAAAGTCACATGCAGTATTTACGGGCCCCCCCGAGCTGTGCCACATCCACTCTGAAAGGTGAGTCAGAGACGCACCGCCTGTGTCTGCTCCTGTGTCGTGAAGGGCTGTCGCCAGGACACCTGCTGTTGGTCTTTGGTGAAAACATAGTTACGCTGTGGAAAGAAAACTCTTACGTCATCTCAAAGATTACAGGTCCAAGCTTTTTAAGAGATCTGAATTTTGTAGCAAAATAGACATAATATACAAACATGTAAATGCTTTCAGCGTCCCAACCAGTAATAAAGCAAACACTTAATTACTTTAATTATAACATCTATTGTTTCGATTATACATCTACACTGGCTATTTCACTGCTGATATTTTGCCATAAAAATTCTGGGTGATACTGAGCTATTTACTTATAAACTGTGACTACTATAAAAACACTAAGATAACCACTTTTGTGTAAAGATCACATTGCAAATTATCTATTGATCATATCTGGTGAGATGTGTGTGAAGGATTTATAAATCAAAAAAACTGCTCACAAAGTCAGAATTCCCTTAAAGTGAACACAAAACGTGATTCTTATGGTAGTTTCCTTTTGGAGAATAAATTTACATAATCATAATAGAAACAAAACTTCACTTGTGAACATTATTTTGCAAACCTACTCAGAGGCAGAAGTGAAATTACTGGAAAGTCACACTGAACTCCCATTAACAGAATTAGATTAAATTCTGGCAGTCACTGAACAGTCACCTGGTACCAGCCTGTTTTTAATATGAAGAAACAAGCCCCCAGAGCTGCTGGGGCACATGGTGCTGAGCTCTGGCGACAGGTGAGGGGCAGCCACACCCCATCCCGCACCTGCACCTGAGCCTTGCAGAGGCAGCAGCAGGCTCAGCCTGAGGCCATCAGAACAAGGGGCAGGAGGGGCTGGCCTGACCCTGGGCCACGGCCGGGGGCTCTGCATTTGCTGCGGGATCTGAAAGTGCCCTGGGGCCCAGAAGAGGGGGGATGCCATTCCCTGAGGATGGGAGAGAAGACAACAAAGGGTAGCAGGCCACTGAGCAGAGGCCAGGAGGGAGCACCTGAGAAGGAGCAGGAGCGTGCCAGGGGGGAGGCAGACACAGTCGGGGCCGCCCTACCCCCTCCCCTCGGTCCCTCACACTGCCTCCCACCGTGCTGCACATCCTGACGAGGTGATCACATTTAACATACTGTAACATCACCCTGTACCTTCCCTGTAAAGTTCAAACTCCCAGGTTGGTGCTCAGGGCCGTTCACGGTCCGGCCTCTTCCTCCCCCTGGGCATCCACACAGGATGCAGAACTCAAGACATGCCATAATCCGGGGGGCCTCAGGAGTGCACACTGAACACAGGAGATCACACTACAGCCAGTGCCCACAGGCATGGCGTATGAACTAGTGTGCAGTTCAGAATCCATCTATCCATCTAGGCCTGCATCCACTCAACAGTGATCCATCCATCCATCCCTCCACCTGCCAATCTAGCCATCATCCAGCCCTCCATGCATCCATCCAGATATCCACCCACCTGCCTATTCATCCATCCATCCATCCATCCATCCCTCCATACATCCATCCCTCCATGCATCCATCCAGCTATCCACCCACCTGCCTATTCATCATCCATCCATCCATCAATCTATCCATCCATCCATCCATCCATCCATCCATCCATTCCTCCATACATCCATCCAGCTACCCATACACCTACCTATTCATCCATCCATCATCCACTCACCCATCCATCCATCCATCCAACCATCAGTACTTTGTGAGAGGGTCTGAGTGCCAGGTGCTGTCCCAGGCTCAGGGGTTTGCAGAATGAACAGGAGGTAAAAGATGATGTCATGCTAGACAGTCGGGCCAGAGAGAGTAAACCAGGCAGGTGCTGAGAGGGAACAGCAGAGACAGGCATGCTCTATGGCGCAGCCAGGGATGGCGGCCTGTACAGAAGCAAGACTGGCTGCCCCGTAAGCAGCACCCACGTCAGTCTCAGGAAGGCATGTGAGGGGGAAGAAAGGACCAATGAAGAGCCCTGAGGCAGGGGGATGGACGGGGGGGCCAGATGAGGCGGAAAAGGAGCGTGAGGGGGAGCGTGGCATAGGTGAGGTCAAGGGAGAGATGACCCCAGAAAGCCTCCCAGAGCCTTGACCTGTGTTCTGAGCAGGGACCCCAGAGCTGTGGGAAGAGCACGTAACAGTTCAAGATTTGGGGTGAGATGACGGTGGAGGCCTGTCTGCATTTCACATAGAAACACAAAGACCACTTCCAAGAAACGCGACATCCCTGAAGGACGAGGGGATTTCAAGGCTCTGCTGTACTTGAGACTCCCCAGACACTACACAGTTCCCAACGCCCTCATCATTGACCCCCTCCGTCCCCAACCTGCTGACCCGGGTCTGGATACACGCACCTAATGCTCCCAGAAAGCCCAGGAGGCCAGGTCTCCGTCCCTGCGTCCCCCTCACTCCCGCGGGCCCGTCCCTGTCCCGGCACCAGACCAGGTCACCAGGCACCACTGCTGCCCTTGGTTAGGACCAAAGGGCTCCCGGGAGGCGAGCACACGGCGAGCACCCAGGCGGGGCCTGCTGACACCTCTGCCGCGGCCTCAAGTTGACTGCTGTCCGCGGGCCCCTGCCCCGCACCGGGGGTGGCCCTCCACACACATCCTTCCCACCTCTCCGGGCCCGGTTACTCACTGCGGGGCGGTCGCGTACCCAGACGACCTCACTTTGCTGTGGAAAACCAGGGGCTGGTCCCGAACGGTGCTCCGCACCACTGTGTGAAACGAGTTTAAAAAGTTGCAAATGTACTTTCCACAATAGCTAAAACATGGAAAGAGCCTAAGTGTCCATCAACAGATGAATGGATCAAGAAGATGTGGTTTATCTATACCATGGAATACTACATGGCAATGAGAAACAATGAAATCTGGCCATGTGTAGCAACATGGATGGACCTTGAGGGTGTTATGCTGAGCGAAATAAGTCAGGCAGAGAAGGACAAATATCATATGTTTGCACGTATAGGAGGATTAGGAGGAACTTGACGGAGGAACAAGGGGGAGAAGAAGGGCGGAAATGGTGGGGGAAAGGGAGAGAGGCAAACCATGAGAGACTCTTGAATGCTGACAAAAACTGAGGACTGATGGATGTGGGGGGGAGGGGGGGATGGGCATGGAGGAGGGCACTTTGGGGATGAGCACTGAGTGTTATGTAGAAACTAATTTGACAATAAACTATTTGTAAAAAAAAAAAAAAAAAAAAAAAGTTGCAAATGTTACTGGCACAAAAACAGACACTCAGCTCAATGGAGCAGAATAGGGAACCCAGAAATGGACCCACAAACATATGGCCAACTAATCTTTGACAAAGCAGGAAAGAATATCCAAAGGAATAAAGACAGTCTCTTCTGCAAATGGTGCTGGGAACACTGGACAGTGACATGGAGATGAATGAACCTGGACCACTCTCCTACACCAGACACAAAAATAAACTCAAAATGGATGAAAGACCAAAATGTAAGACAGGAACCCATCAAAATCCTAGAGGAGAAAACAGGCCAACAACCTCTTTGACCTCGGCCGCGGCAACTTCTTACTCAACACGTCTCCAGAGGCAAGGGAAACCAAAGCAAAAATGAACTATTGGGACCTCATCAAGATAAAAAGCTTCTGTATAATGAAGAAAACAATCACCAAAACTAAAATGCAACCGACAGAATGGGAGAAGATATTTGAAAATGACATATCAGATAAAAGGTTAGTATACAAAATCTATAAAGAACTAATCAAACTCAATACCCAAAAAACAAATAATCCAGTGGAGAAATGGGCAAAAGACATGAATAGACACTTCTCTAAAGAAGACATCCAGATGGCCACAGACACGTGAAACAATGTTCAACATCACTCATCATCTGGGAAATACAGATCAAAAACACAATGAGATACCACCTCACACCTCTCAGCATGGCTGACATTAACAACTCAGGTAACAACAGATGTTGGTGAGGATGCGGAGAGAGAGGATCTCTTGGCACTGCTGGTGGGAATGCACACTGGTGCAGCAACTCTGGAAAACAGTATGGAGGTTTCTCAAAGAATGAAAAATAGGACTACCCTATGACCCAGGAATTGTACTACTAGGTGTTTATCCAAGGGATACAGGTGTGCTGATTCGAAGGGACACATGCTCCCCAGTGTTTATAGCAGCGCTATCGACAATAGCCAAAGTATGGGAAGAGCCCAAATGTCCATCGATGGAAGAATGAATAAAGAAAATGTGGTATCTATATACAATGGAGTATGACTCAGCAATCAAAAAGAACGAAATCTTTCCATCTGTAACTACATGGATGGGACTAGAGGATATCATGCTAATTGAAATTAGTCAGAGAAAGATAAACATATGACTTCACTCATAGGAGGACCTTAAGATACAAAACAGATGAAAATAAGGGAAGGGAAGCAAAAGTAATATAAAAACAGGCAGGGGAACAAAACATAAGAGACTCTTAAATACAGAGAACAAACTGAAGGTTGCTGGAGGGGCTGTGGGAGGGGGGATGGGCTAAATGGATAAGGGGCTTAAGGAATCTACCCCTGAAATCATTGTTGCACCAGGCGCTAACTAACCTGAATGTAAATTATCCAGGATTCAGGAAAAAGAAACATCTAGCACATTCCCTACCACAAACAGCATGTAAAAAATCCGTGAGAGGCCGAGAAACAAAGCAGCAACGGATGGAGGAAACGCTGAATTTTCACGCTGACAAACAAATCCACAGAGCAGGTCGAAGCCCCGGCGCCACGGCACGCCTGTGTCCCAGAGCAGGGGGTGCTGACCTGGTTGTCGCTGAGGTGCCGGCGTGGTCCTGGGCTCCTCGGCGGCTCTGAAGTGCAGCGGAGACGTGGAGAGGACGCAGCCACTAGGCAGACAAAGCGCCAGGAGAGCAAGCTCACAGGACGCACGCTGTCAGGACGTCACAGGGACTAACTCGTGTAGGTGTGGACTTTTCTAAGGAATAATCTTTAATATTTTTAATAAAAGGGCTATCTTATAATTTACACGTATTACAATATTTTTACGCTAAAAATTAACTATGAATCATTTAGCCTTAAACAAGACAGCAGCAGTGCCAGGAGCCAGAATGTCTTTCAAACTGGTCAGCAGAGCTGGGAGTTCACTACACTTTACTTGTACTTCTTGGAGTCAACGGGAGTGTGAGTTCCCGAGCGGGAACGCCGCGCACGCAGGCCCCGCTGGGGAGGACCCTACCGAGGCAGCACCGACAGGCTCCTCCCGGCGCCGGGACCTTGCTGACGCCGCACCAGGGCTGCGAGACGGAGCTCCAACAAGGCGATCTGACCACCAAACATGGACGCGAGTAAGCAGACGGCCTGCGCGGGACAGTTGTCATCCAGTCAACGGCGAGCGCACGCCCGCGACCCCAGCCGCACAGGGCAGACCTGCTCCCGTCACACCGGCAGTTACCGCGCGCCTCCAAACTCACACACCAGGTCACGCTCCCCCGCGTGGAAGAGAGAAGCACGCCGATGCGCTAGGCAGGGTCCGAGGACGGCACGTGTTTCGGGACTAACCTTTTGCTCTCCGGCCCCACTCATCATCGCACACGACCCGGCAACCTGAATGCTGAGGCCCCCGAAATCTGAATTTCCAGCAAAGAGAAACAAACAAGCAATGTTCACAGGGTCAGTGAAGGGAACAAACCCCCATGTGCCCGCACGCCCAGCGCAAACGGGCCTGCGCGCTCACGAGAGCCCTTCCCCTGGGGCCCTCGATCCCTGGAGAAGCGGGTGTAGGGCGGCTGTGGGGGAGCTGGGAACACACCCCCCGGGGCGCACACGCCCGGATCTAAGAGCGGTACCGGGGAACCTCCAAGGGCCAGTGGGAGGAGGAGAAGGCGCTCAGGCCAGTCGAGGTTTGGAGGGTTCAGGCCAAGTGCTTAAGTGAGTGCTGAAGGGGCAGTGACTTCTGATGAGCAGGGAGGCCAGGCTGAGAACTCAAACTCTGTCCCCAAAGCTCCGGGGCCTTAAAAGAGAAAGAAGGGAGCCTCCGCCTACAGGTGACCTGGGCCGCAGGGAGGCTCCTGAGGGGTAAGAGTTTGGGGAGCGAGGGGGGATGGAGCCAGGAATCATGCCTACCCCCCTGGCAGGGGCGACGCCCAGCGTGGAGGCCCCGGAACTTGAGGACGCACGGGAGCCGCCCCAGCTCAGTTCACACAGTGCAGTCTGGAGGCCCGAGGCTGCCCGTGGCCTGATGCCAGGCACACATGCTCGTCCACACGTTCTGGCGACCAGGACTCCTCCGCTGAAGGTGTTACCCTCCCACACGTCAGAGAAAAGCACTGACGGAAGTTTCGAGACATTTAGATCAAAGGTGACCTGAACTTGGACCTTACCCTTGTAATGTAAAACGGCTTCCAGTTCAAAGTTCACCAAATTAAAGAGGAATAGGCCTGCCGAACTGCCAACCCACACGCACGGGGCACTCTCAGAAGGAAGGCTAACTTTAAAAGAAAAAGAGAGAACCGTGTGTGGGTCTCACTCCTCCGGCCCCCGGCCCACCGGGCAGGCAGCCAGCCAGCTCTCGGCATTACGGTCTGGAACCGGGCCTGCCAGGCTCGCGCTAAACGGCTCCAGCTTCCCGGGCGCCTGCCGTCCGGGGAAGACTAGTGACGAGACGGCCACAACCAGACCTTGACTCAACTGTGACCTGCAAGGTTGTGGCCTCCTCAGAGCTCACAGCGGTGGCAGGTGCCGGGTCCTTCCCTGCGAGGCGCCCGTGGCACCTGCGCCCTGCCCAGTGGGGTCTGGAAATAAGGGGCGCAGCCACCAGGGAACAGACCCCCGCGGCCGAGCCAGGAGACACCGACCGCAGCTCTTCCTCCTCCTGGATCGATGTGCAAACTGGGGAGACATCAACAAAGGGCCACCAGGCCTCCGCTGGCTGTGCCAGACCTGCACTCTGACGGGCTCTCCGCATTCTCTCTCCCGCCTGCCGCTTGGTCCCCTGGAGCCTCCCGCCGCCCTGGGACCGTCTCTCACTCTGGGCTCCTCAGACCCTCGCACACGCACCGCCATGCCAAGGGCGGCCAGGCAGGTGGGTCCCTGCAGCCCCCCGTGCGCCCAGGGGCGGAAGGCCTTCAAGGAACTCAAGCCCAGGTCAGGTGTGTTCTCACCCAACCGGGCACCCGCGGAGACTCGGCCCCATGGCAAGGCCGGCTCCCCATCCCCCCGGAACACCCCCCGTCCAGGGAGACTGGAGGCCCCTGTTTGCCTAGACGCCTCCGCACTGCGAGAGCGATCGTAACACGTTCTTAACTGTGTGATGAGCGGACAGATGGGGGTACGGGGGGGCGGGGCAGCGATGACTATATCCCCCTTTACCTCATTACACAATCAAGATCTGCCTAGATTTTGGTGAGTGAACTTAAAATTAACATTATTTCTTTTATTAAATAGACTTAAAAATAATTGACCAACTTTACCAGCTTTAAGACTTGAAGTGTGCAGTCCTAAATTCACTTCTCAGTTGTTATTAGTCCAACAGACAAAAATAATTTGGTTATGGCTTAATCGTTCTTCAAAAATGAACCTACTCTGGTAAGGCTTTCTTCGCCTGGCATCGGCCGCGTCCATCCTACTCACCGTCCACACCCAGAGCCGCACGGGAGTGAGAGGTCCCACGGGGCCAGTGCCAGCACGGGGAGGCCTCCTTCCACCTCGTCCCCTTCCTCCAGGCTGTGTGCGCAGGGCGGCCGACTCTCCTCTAGGCACAGAACTATTGATAATCTGAGCTATGAGACTGAAATGATCAGTCGAGTCAAAGGGCAAACAGTTGGCTCCTCGGGATGTTGCAGGAAACGACATGGGCGCGAATGATCAGGTCCCGAGACCAGGAAAGCCCTCAGCCCACAGCAGACAGAACACGGTGCGGAGCAGGCCCCTTACGGGAGGCCGGCAGGGAAGGGTGTGGAGCTGCAGGCACAGCTGGCGTGAACCCTGTTCCCAACGCAGGGTGAGGCCTGCCTCCCGACGGACGGGCCCTCACGCAGGAGGTGAAGAGAACCGAGAGTTAAAGCATCAGGAAGAGGGCAGATACATGAATAAAGGTCATTTCTGACCTTTGGGGAGGGGAGGGGTGTGGAGGGAAGGGGAGACACAAACCACCCGGTTAAGGAGGAAGAACAGCGGGAGGGCGTGAGGGCAGCAGGGACGGACCGCTGGCTGTGACACAGGGTCGGCGCACCGCCCGCGCCCACGGCGGCCCCAGGCTGGACTGGGAAGGACAGTGCAGCTCCGTCTCCCAGCCGCGCGTCCGCTCCTGCGGGGCCAGCGGACGCCGGGACTGCGGGCGGCGGGCGGCAGACGGTGAGGAAGGAGGCGTGGCCAAGTGGGGCTGATGGGGTTTGGGGGGGGGGGTGGTTCCGGAGCCCACGGCCAGGAAATTATCCCGGAGACGTCTGTGGTGCCACAGGGCAGTTTTGTCAAGCGCAGGGACAGGACTCGTGGGCAGCAGGGCGGCCCGGGGTCCTGAGGGGTGACTGGTGGCACACCAGGGCGCTGGGGGAGGCGAGGCTACGGAAGGCCCCAGAAGCACGTTCCTGGGGTCCAGGAGGCCCGGCCCTTGTCCGCGAAGCGCCAGCACTGGGTCGGCAGGGAGCTCCTGGAGGGGCTGCTCCGCCTGCCTCAAGCCTCGGTCACTGGGCCGCAGGTTATGAGGGAATTTACTTTTATCACGTGTCTTTCTACCTTTGTTTCCCACATCAGATCTGTGGGCAGAGGGGGGCCAGTGCAGGGCAAAGGGGCTGTGCCAGCCCAGGGGAGGGGGACGCACAGGGGCGTCCGGGGGTGATGCAGTCAGCAGGGGGTGAGGGGGTGCGCGGCTGGCCCAGGGAGGATGGGGGTGCACAGGGGAGGCCCGGCAGCATGAGGGCATGCAGGGGAGGCGGGGGTGGGGGTGGGGGGAACGTGCAGGGGAGGCGGGGGGAGGGAATGGGACTTGCGGGGGCAGGGGTGAAGGGGGATGGGGACATGCAGGCACCAGCCTGCTCAGCCAGAAAAGCCCCGGAAGGCGGGTCTGTCCACGCGGGACCCTCAGCACCAGGACAGCCCACAGAAGCCGGGGAGCCACTGCCCTGGGCTGCGGGCCGCACGCTCTCCCAGTCACCGGACGGCAGCGCCGTGCGCACGGGACGGGGTGCCTGCCCCCAGCCTCCCTCACAAGACCTGCCTGGTGCTGGTGGAGGTCTGAGGGCGGACGACATGTCCCCGTCCCCTCTCCGGCCACCTCACCTGGCACAGGACCCTGACAGGCTGATGCCCTGGCGGGAGCCCCAGGGGAGGGTCTGAGTGAGGTTACCTGGCAGACTGCACAACCTGGACGCAAGCCTCCTGGAGAAGGACTCTCTCTTCTTCCTCAGGTCGGCTCGGGTCACACAACGACAATGATGTCTTCCAACCAGACTGAAGACCCAGAGCTGGAAAGCAGAGCAGGCTCAGACATGGCGCCCCTCACCGCAGGCGAGCGCGGCGCGAGCCACGAGGCCTCAGAGGCGGCCTGGAGCCCTCCCCCCGACGTGGGAGCCTCCGAGCCCCCGTCCTGCACGCAGACTCGGTGTGACTCTGGGTGCAGACACCACCGCTGGCTCACAAAACACTCCGCCCAGGAGGGCGTGTGCTCTGGGCCCCACTGGTCCGTGCCGGTCTCTGGAGCCCACCAGACACACAGGTGCGATCACATCGACACGTCCCCGGGCAGAAAGACACAGGTAAGAGCAGTCGCCTTTGTCAAAAAGAAACACAATTTCTTATTTCCAAAAGCACACCTGTGATTTATAATGAAGAAGCACGTGTGTGGACTTCCTGTGTCTGACACAGAGCTCCTTTAAAACCCCTGGAATTTCCCAAGTGAAGAAAAGGACACAGGTTTCTGGTTGTGTTAACAAAGTGACTTCTGGGAAGCCCCAGGGGCGGGCGCAGGCGGCCAGGGGAACCACAGGTGACAAGAGGCCTGCCCCCGACCTGCCCCTGACCTGGCTGGAGGCTGGGTTCAATCACCAGGGGCCGTGAGTTAACCAGTCACACCTACGTGATGAGACTCCTTACACCAACTTCCAGGGTGGTGACCACGTCCACACCGGGAGGCTGACCCGCCCCAGGTCCACACTCGGGATCCTCTCAACCTCGCCATCTGCACCCCTCCATCTGGCTGCTCGTCCGTGCCCTCCATCACACCCTTTAATGGCCTGGTGAACCCGGAAATGAGAGTTTCCCCGAGTTCAGCAAGTCGCTCTAGCAAAACAGTCAAACCGAAAGGGGGGCCGTGGGGACCTCCAGTTGGAGCGGAACTTCGTAACTGGGGACCTACTGCCTGTGACTGGCATCTGAAGGGGGGACTGAGCCCTTCACCTGTGGGGTCTCCAGGTAGGCAGCGTCAGAACGGAGTGGGACGCCCAGCCGGCGTGGTGGGGACTGTCTGGTGTGGGGGAGCCCCACACGTGCACCGACTGGGAGTGTATGAAGGGAGGTGTCTGGTTATCTCCTAATACGGTATCCTGCCCAAATTTTCCCAATGGCAACTCTTCACGAAGAGAGCAGGATCCGTGTTTTGGGAAGTACACCAGAACTGCTTACCTAAAAAACTAAGTTTTAGAAAAAATCAAGCACCCTTCAATTTTTCAAGCTACATGAAGCGGGCTCTTCGCCGGCTGTGGGTGCACGTGTGAGCCCCACACGGACGCCGAGGCCCCAGAAGGAACAGCCCAGCTGCTGGGGTCGAGGCTCAAACCAGAGAGAACGCACACAAGTGCTGAAGCAGAGACCTTTCTGCAGACGTCCACGTGGCCGCCGTCACGTCTGGAACTGAAGTTCCAGTCTGGGGTCCCTCACCTGGCCGTCCGCACATCCCACCACCAGCTGCCTGCTCTGTTCAACCATGAGGAGCCTCAGGAGGGGGGCAGCTACAGAGACACAAATATTAAGCGCTTAGTATTTAAACCGGAAACTACCCAAGTTTTACTTACAGCATGTATTTTAGTCAGGTCTGAACTACCCTGAAATAACCTCAGCAGCAGGTAGAAACCGTAAGTGCAGACACACTTGGAGGACACGGTGAGCGTGCGGAGCAGCCACACAGCCCCGCAGAAAACGCCGGGGGCAGCTTCCAGTCCAGGCCGGAGCCCACGGGCTGGTCCGTGCAAAGGTCTCCCGCGCCACTGAGGCCACACAGCCCTACGCCCGCACCATCCACAGCAAGGCCCATAAGCATTAAACTTGCAGCAGGAATACAACTGCGGGACTAGTCAGGAAAGTGGCAATTAAATGACACCTGCTGTTTAAACTGCTGCCTAGCGTGTCATCTAATTTAAAACTTATTCTGAATCGAAACTGTCAAGAATTCACAGAAGGAGAATTAAAATAAATGGGGCATTTAAAAACACTGTATGTCTTAAATAAGCTATAAATGATATCAAAATCAAGTTTGTAATTATTTTCTTGGCAGTCAGATAATTCAACATAAATAATTTCAGGAAAAGAATTCCAACATAATTGTAAGAAATGTGCTTCGTCCCTGAGACTGACAAACGTATTCCGTTCAGCGCAGGGATGAGGGCCGTCGGGCGGAAGGCTGAGTCTTTGGGGAAATACGCAGACGCTGCACCAGGTCAGAGGCACCTGCACGTCACTGAAGCTGTGTGTTTGCGAGACTCGTCCCAAGAAAGGGACCATTTTCTGTTAGTTCCTGCTCCCCCCCCCCCACGGGAATGGGAGGCGCCCGCGGCACCGTGACGGAGGGCGCCGCCAGCCAGGACGCGGCAGGCTCTGCGGGACCCGGGGGACGCGTGCGGGGGACTCGCCCTGCACAGAGCGTAAGGAGGGCACAGGACGGCCTGGGGCTCAGGGCCGCACAAAACTCTACCCCACCACACGCTCGGCCGCGGGGCAGACGCCGCCTGCAGAGGCCTCGCCGGATGGTGCTCTCAGCACGCATACGCTCAATTTTAAGTTAAACTTCAGGAACTGTGCCTGTGAAGTGAATCCTTACAACGTGTGGAGGGGCGCAGACGGCTGCTCGTGAGCAGCACGGAGACCCCGGATGGGACGCGTCCAGCCTACCGAGCGGCACACAACCCAGCGAGGGCGCCCGTCCGCGTGCCGGTACCTGTTAGCACTGCTGAGCTGTACAGGGACGATCCCGCCTGATGGTCCCAGACCTTTGAGAAGACACTTGTTTCCTTAGGGAGGTGCAATTCTGCCATTTGATACAGTTGACTAATACTTCTGCTCAATTACAAATTAATTTATGTAAACGGTTACCTAAAGGAGAAAATAGTCATAAAACAGGTATATAAACAACAAAACTGTAGCAATACCAAAACAGCTGTCAGAACCACATGGGAAAAAGCCAACATTTCCAGAAATAACAATCTGTGGGTTTGGAAAGACCCAAGTCACGGCTGGAGACATTGCCAAGAAGAGGTGTGACGGCCACAGCAAGTGACACCCACCAGGCACCGTCTGGTGCCCTCCACACATCAGCTCCCATTCCCCGAGCCTCCATGAGACAATGGGCACCCTCATGTCCACCTTAAAGACAGGAAAAGTGAGGCACGGCATGGCTCATCTGTCACCGGCAGCTGGAAGGGCTGGGGCTGAGCCCAGGTGTCCTGCTCAGAGCGCAGGGAGCAGCACCTATGAAGCCAGTTCCATGGGGAAGAAACTTCCAGAAGACAACAGAAGTATTTTCCATCTCTCTCCTCTCTCACTCGGCAGCTGTGCCTTAACTGACCTCAACTTGTCTTCCAGCTACCATGGAGAAGTCCTCACTTGCTCAATAAGATGACAGACCTAAGACCAGCCGGCTCTGAGCTTCATGGGAACTGATCTGGCATTTTAAGTTCTTTCCTTCATAACCTCAGTTCATTCTGACTGAATCCTCTGCTCCTGGAAGATGCTTTCTGCTCTGGCCCCGTAGGGAGCAACGTGGAGGTAAACGGATGTTCTAGCTCCCGAAGGCCCTGGATCTGAGGGGGAGGGTCCCGCAGGTGACCCAAGCCCAGCCGGGGACATTGGGGCACTGCTGGCCGGCACGTGGCCCAGTTCCAGACAGAGTGTATGTGCAGGGACCGGGAACCAGAAAGTCCTTCCGAGAAGCACCTGAAGCATTCTGGTGCCCGTGCCCTTACCTTAAAGCTTCTGTCTTCAGACACCGAAATGATGATGTGTGTTTGCCATGGACAGAACTCCGCTGCAGTCACGGGGGCCTGGTGGCCCTCCAGCACAGCTAGTGTAGACGGGCTCTGGGAGAGTTTGTGAAGGAAGATCAGTAACTGAATGCTCTGGTAACTTGTTAAGTTACGTACATCTCATAGAAAACGGTTTCTGTTAAACTCTACGCAATTCCCTTTTCCAAATGTGAAGCCACCTGTGTCTACACCTATAAATTCAAGCTCAGACGGCTGAGCGGAGAGAGAAGCGTAGGGCCAGGTGCACGGCAAGTTTAGGGACAGGGGTAACTGAGGCCGATCCAGAACACAGCCAGGCAGCACGCAGCCTGGGCTCTCCTGCCCTCCCGTCCACACCACGTGCTACCCTGAAGCCACTCTCCAGTGCCAGGACGCCCGGAACAGGCCCTGCAGGGGCAGGCACAGCATCCGAAGACTAAACAGGACAGACACTACTACTGAGCCAGCCTTCCCCCCAGGCCCTGAAGCCTGTTACAGCTGGGCAGCCCCGGAGCCAGTGTCACGAGCCGGAATTACAGAGCACGGCCAAGAGGTGCTGGTGCTGTCACCGGAGGACTCCAGGCACCGGGGGGACTCCGGGCACCCAGGGGGACTCCAGGCACCCGGGGGTCAGGACCGCTCTTCAACCCCTACAGCATCTGGTCAGACAAGATCAATGTCCATTCACACACACGCGGGAAATACACACACGGCTGTATCCACACAGCGATTTCACCGACAAGTAAGCACTTACACCGAGAAGACGTTCCTCATGTGACCTGAGACCCCAACCAGCATGGCCATCGTCTGCCTCTAGTCACCGGTGGGGCCAAAATAAAAGGCTAGGTAGCGATGCGCACAAGAACGGGGCTCATTTCCAGACGGGGCGTGAACATTTCTGCTGCCTCCAACTCCACAAGACGATGCCATCCTGAAAACCACCTGGTTTCCTCCCAGTGTTTAGCTGCGTCTTACTGCAGTCGAAGCATTCTGTACTCGTTTAAAGTCCCTCCGAGCAAGTCCCACGGCCCAGGCCCTCCCTGGTGCTCTGTGAACAGCCCACAGTACCCCCGGTGTCATAGGCAGCCCACGCACGGCTTCCCGGCCGCCAAGGAAGGGAGAACGGTGTGGGCCGGCCGCACACGGTCCGGAACGAGCACGCGCCACCTGCCTGCTCGCCTGCGTGGCTGAGACCTGACTCGGGCCCCACATCTCTGCTTCGGGGACAGACAGTGCGCGCTGCCCTCCCGGCTCGTCCAACAGGGACGGAGAGCCCCGTGGCGCTGGGCAAACCCAAAGCCACACTGAACGCTAGGGTTCCCCGCCACCTGTGGCTTCACTGACAACATCAGCCCTCATTACGTGTGAGCCTCAATTTCACAACTTGGCCAAAAAATTGCTTGAACACAGCAATGGACATGCCATGCCCCAAACTGACGAGCATACAGGAAACCCGCCATCAGCTGATCCTCCATTAAGATTGTATGCTTGACATCCTGCATAACCTAGGGTTTTTTAAGTGGATAAGGCAAAACAAAACAAAACAAAACAAAAAAAACTCTTCACAGGCAAATGGCTTTGTTAACTGCATTCATTTGGCAAACAGAAGCCGAGACAACACCAGGCCTTGGATGATCTGTCCTCAAAGTAAGGCTCAAGCAGACGCAATCCTGAGGAAACAAGAGGCCTCCCTCAACCTCCACCCCTGCTCTCTTACACTGGGCTGACCCCGCAGGGCTCGCATTTCAGGACCAGATCTGAGATCTGAAGTCAAACGGAAGGGGAAACACAGTCCCTGTAACCCATCCCCGTGAAAAGGTAAGAGAAACATCCAGCTCCTGGAGAAAACAAGTTCTGATAAAAGACATCGCAGAGGCGCTACTCAGTAAGGCTTCTCCGAGGTGAGCAGAGGAGGCGATCAGAGAAGTGAATGCCTGACTGCGCACCCTCACCAGCACCCTGACTGCGCACCCTCACCAGCACCCTGAGTGTGCACCCTCACCAGCACCCTCACCAGCACCCTCACTAGCACCCTCACCAGCACCTTGAGTGCAGACACAGGTTGCATAACTGACATAAACAGCAGTGTCTGGTTCCGGTGGCTCTCCACGTGCTTTCCCTCATCTGCCCCAGCATCTTTACGAAAACACAGCCACGTGAAAATACTGTCATGAGAGGCAGGCAGGGCCCAGGGAGGCCCCACGGGCCCTGGCCCACCACACGGCTCGCGGGCAGGTGCTGCACCTACCTCGGTATCCAGCATAAAGATTTTGTTCCCAGCACACACTGCAGCTGCTCGATCGTCCGGGCTCAGCCTCAAATACAGCACCTTCCCCAGCAGGGTGCCCAGGACACGCCCCCGAGGAGTCAGCCCTAGAGGGAGTTTCACTGTTAGTGTCGGGCCAGCAAAGCAGCCACAGGCCACGGGGAACACTGACCACGCTGTCCTCTCTCTCCGGGAGGCAGGGTAACAAGGAGTCTGATGTGGTTTCGGCTCCTTGACGGTATTAAAAGCATCAAGTGTACACAGTTCTCCTGGAAGTACGTGGAATGCACTGTCCATCAGAAAATGACCCTGTGTCTTTGCAGATAACGGGTCCCCGGGAAGGCTGCACGTGCAAACACACAGGGGCCACACAGAATGGCCCAGTCCCAGTCCTTCCCTCCCCCCGGGGCCACCTGCTCCAAGCTCGGCCCTGTGAGCTGCTCACACCCGCTCCAGACAGGCAAAGGCGCAGGGTGCCCACCTGGGCCTCTGGGGCCTCTCCGTGCCCGCGAGGACAGCTCTGGGCCGACCTGTGGGGCCCAGGTAACAACACGAGCCAGCCCGCAGCTTCAGGGGTGCAGCAAGGACTCGGCGCCCCTGGGGCTGGGCCGTGGGGCTGAGGCTGCCAACAGCAAGCTGCAAGCCCACAGAAAGGGTGCCGTGCACACACCGGAGCTCTAGCCCAGCAAGGCAGGCCCGGGGGTCCACTCCACCAGGATTTATCAGGCACCTACCCTGCCCCTGACATCTCTCTAGGCACCTGGGGTAGACCAGAGAGCAAAACCAGGTCCTGCCTTCATGGAAAGCTTACCCTGGGGTAGGAGGTGGGGGGCATTTCAGAAACCAATAACCAGAATACATAAACGAATTACATACAGGGCTAGAAGGAAGTGAACAGCCTAAGAAAAAGCAAAGCACAAAGGGGCCTGGGGTCCGGGGCGGTGGCCCGAGGGGCCCGTGGAAATATCAGCAGTGACCCCGAGATGGCCCTGGGGGCAGAGGTATGCCTGGGCCATTCCTGGAGGTCTGGGGTGGGGGTGGGAGGTCCCGTACTTTGTGGTTCCTGCCTGCGCGAGGCAGGAAGGCCCCAGGGGGCTCTGGGCGGAAGTGGGGGGCACTCAGACTCCAATTCTGCAGAGGCCCTGGCTGTGGAGAGGGGAGCAGAGCACTGGGGCTGGACGGGGCAGAGGAAGCACCAGCACAACACGCCGGGAGCGGTGAAGGCAGGCGTGACAAGTGCCCGGACTTGGACGTGCTCCGAAGGCACAGCAGATAGAAGCCGTGGGTCGGGGCATGTGGAGGGCGGAAGGAAGACGGGGCACAACACCAGGGCTTCTGAACGGAGCGGCTGCAGGGAAGGCAACAGGAGACAGGTGTGGGGCAGGCGACCGGGACGGAGCTCCCAGCCGTGCAAGTGCACACGTCCAGAGCAGTTCACACCCGAGGCCACCATCGGGACCGAGGCCTCGGGAAGAGCACAGGCAGCAGCTGTCAGAGCCCGGCTGCCATCAAGGGAGTGGTTTTCGAGGGGCAAGAGGAAAAGCCCCTATTCCAATGTTAAGAGGTGGGGGGATGACAGGAGGCAGCAACGGAGCCTGGGGACAAGGGACCAACGATGCAGCACTCCAGGGTCCCAGGTCACATGCTGACTGCTAAGTCCAAGTGCAAACACAAATCGCTCTTGGACACGAAGGTGCTGTAACTGAGGATGCCTTCCCACCATGGGCACAGAAACCAAGCCTGGCTGTGTTGCATCCGGCCCAGGCCATGGGGACACAGGCCACGGGGACACAGGCAGTGCCCTGCAGCTTCTGACAACCCCCATTGCTGCGGTGAGAACCCCCCATCCCTGTGGTGAGAACCCCCCATCCCTGCGGTGAGAGCCCCCCATCCCTGCGGTGAGACACCCCCATCCCTGCGGTGAGACACCCCCCATCCCTGCGGTGAGACCCCCCCATCCCTGCGGTGAGAGCCCCCCAGTCCCACTGCCAGAGCTGAAGACACAAGAGCAGCCCCAGCACACCCACCAGGCTGAGCTCCGTGTGAGCGTCACTGCTGTGCCTTGGGGCCCAGCTTCGAGCCCCTGTCTATGCAGAAGACCACATGTATCAAAACCCGCTTGAGTTTTGAAGGGTGACTTAAAAACACACCTTGGGAGTGGGGCCCTTCCGACATGGAAAGCTACTTATTTACAAAGACCCATACAGGGAACAAATCACTAACGCGTGGTTTACTCTGTGTGTGTGTGTGTCCTATGTACACATGTTCATGTGTGTACATGTGCTATACACACAGGTATATGTGTGTGCTGTATGCTTACATACGTGTGTGCCTGCTATACACACAGGTATATGTGTGTGATGTGTGCTTACGTACATGTGTGCATTGCTATACACACGGGTACATGTGTGTGCTGTATGCTTACATATGTGTGCATGTGTGCTATATACACAGGTACGTGTATCTAAGTGCTATACACTTATGTACATGTATATGCACTTACTATATACACATGTACGTGTCTTGCTATATTCATGCACACATGTGTAGTATATGTATTTTTACTATATTCACATGTGTGGTATGCACACATGTACATGTATGTGTAAACACATTTGTGCATGTGCTATATACTTGTGTGTGATGTACACATGTGTGCATGTGTGTGTGCTCTATACGTGTGTGCTATATGTACATGTGTCTATCTGCTAAATGCTTGTAGGCATGTCTGTGTGTGTACTGTGTATGTGTGTACAGGCACATATGCATATGTGCTTGTGTATGCATGTAGTGTGTGTAGCATGCACTATATGAATAAATACATAACACTATGTGTGTATCTGTGTATGTCTGCATATAACTGTATGCACGTATATTGTGTGTTATAATGTATGTATATGCACTCTACATATACACACACGTCTGTATGCACATCCCTGCATGTATGTACTACACTGTTCTGCATGTATGCATGCATTATGTACTATGTGCGTTAATGCATGTGTATGTGTGCACTACATGTGTAGGTACATGTGTGTAGGTTTGCATGTGTGTTGCTATATATGTGTGTACATGTGTATCCTATATATTGAATGTGTGTGCATATTTGCACGTGCACGTATATTACATGTGCATATGTATGTGTGCAGTACATGTATACACTTTGTGTGCGATATGTGTACTGTGAATGTACATGCCATGTTTATGTGTGTGTGTGTGTGTGCTATGTGTGGGTGTGCTGTGTATGTACATTCACGCATGTACTAAATGTGTACTAAATGTGTTTGTGTGCTGCGTATGTATAAGCATGTGTGTATGTACTATTTGTGTGTGTGTGTGTGTGTGTGGTTATGTCTGCACTATATGCATGTGTATCATATAAGCACGCGTGTGTGTGCTGTGGTGATACACTGACATTGTGCTCACACTACAAATTAAATGAAGTGAGGTACTCTGTCATGTGTATTTCATACATACGTGCATATATTACTATCATATATGCTGCTACCTGAGGTCCTTGACGCTTGTGTTTTGGAGAAGTCCTACGAATTCTCAGTGTTATTAACCACATAACGTTCACACTCCTTAATGCGGTCCTCACCTCACTTCTCAACTTCATCTGCTGCAGCTCCAGCATCCCCGGGCCCCACCCCACGGGCTCCCTCTCGGCTCTGCACACAGTCAGGTTCCTCACGCACAGGGACGGCTCTGCCTGGCCGCTGCCGCCCAGCGCGGTGCCCCGGCCCAGCACCGGCCCTCACTTGCGTCCAGCTCCTCCTCATCCCCCAGCTCAAATGTCACCCCCCGGATGTGACACCATGTGAATGTGTCCTGCCCATGGTCTCTGCTGACACCTCGCCTGCTTTCTCTGCTGTGCTCACCACAGCTGATAACCACTCACTTGCCTGTTTGAAATACGTGTCCCTCCCCCATGGTCTCTGTAAGGAATAAACACTTCACCATGCCTACATGTTTTCAGAGGTCCACAAAAATCACAGATAGCAAAATAAGAAAATACGTAAGATTAAAACTAATGAGCCTGTCGTGTCAGATTCACGCATAGCCAGAGTCAGTGGGTGTGAGCCCCTGGGAAGTGTCCCGCGCAGAACGTCGGGCTTGGACACTCAGTTTCATGGTTAAAGGGCTCAGAACTGCTCCCAAGCCCCTGTATGTTACCAGGTCTATTTAAGGATGAGTCATTCCCTTTGCACACTTTTTAAAATGTATTTTAAGTGTTCATTTACCAAGAAGTGCTTTCTGTCTGCACTCATCCAGACTCCACATCATAACACAGTCTTGTGATGCAGAGCAGACGAGAAGTGGGCTCAGTGTATTTCCCAGCGTCACAGCGGTGATCGGCTGACGGTGTCCTCTTAGGATCAGAGGCTGAAAAAGTCAACAGAAACCAAATATCATGGACCATAGAGAACATTTAAAGAATAAAGGAACTTGACGGCATAACCTCCAACCTAAGAAATCAAATGGCTTCAATTTTTCAAATACATTTATTTCATATATTCATTTATTAAAATCCCTGATAACACACTACTAAACATCTCCCAAGTGAACCATCTCACTACCATTCAACATCATGGATCACACACCATAGTGAAAAGACGCAGGTCACCTCACTCTTCCATTTCCTCATTAGTCATAAGTAAGAAAGGCGTGTCGTGTCCCTGCCCCGTGCCGCAGGGGCCCTGCTGTGCTGGACCCGCAGAGGCGGGAGCGTTCCGGTGGCTGGGAGACGAGGCACAGGTAAGAGGCTGCCGGTACAAGCGAGGAAGGCGACGGGGCCACAGGAAGCCTGGGCAGGTGTGACGCCGTAGCGAGCGTGCTCAGGGCTGTGACCGAGCACGAGGAAACTGGAGGCCCGCACACGACGTGCAAGCAGGGCATCTGTGAGCAGACTTGTAACACAGCTGCTGGGACACAGCACGGGAAAGGCCTGGACTAGGGTGACAGGGATGGAGACGGGAGCAGACAGTGAACCCAAAGGGCATCGCGAGATGGGAAAGCGACAAGGGCTAAGGTCATCAGCGTTCCGAGCGGCAGTCCTAGCGAACGGGGCACAAGGCAGGTGCCGCGGAATCAGGGGAGATCAGAGGTCGTCTGGCTGTGGTAAGTGAGCTCCGTTCGAGCTGACAGCCAGCACACAGTAGGTGCTTTGACGTGAGGGCCACCACTCAAACAGGAGGAGCTGCTCGCGGCAGCAATTCATCTGTTCCAACCTCCTGAGGAGAATGACAAGAAAAACTGGGCAAAATTTACAAAAAAAACCATCAAGATAAGCGAGACACGACACCAGAGAGCAATGAAAGCAACAAAGAATTAAGACCAAAGAAGGAAACGGAGAGAAGGGACCCAGCGTGGGAGGCCATTCACCCATGAAGACTTCTGCCAAAAGGCAGCTTTCTGACAATTCCGATAAAGGCCGTGGAAAGCGGAGATACTTGCGGGACTGGGAGACAGAGACAGGTCCCAGAGCGGCGGTGACGAGACAGAGCAGCAGGGGCTACGACTCTCCAGGAGCCGCAGCACCAGCCTCCCGGCTCCAGTCTCCTTTGCTCTGCTGCTTGTCTGATACCAGCAAGCACATACACCACAGCATCAGGCGTCTTGACAGGTCATGTACCTGCTGGGTCATGAGTGCCTCCGGCCCCAGACAACACTCTGATCCCTGGCCTGGCGCCCGTATGATGTCCTTCCAGAGAGAGCGAGCATTCCCAGAACTACTTTCTATCCCTTTCCTTCAGGACATTCTTACAGTGCCTCCAGCTTCTTGTCCTCCAACAGCTAGAACCACAAACGTGGTGTGATTAAATGCATCATTTTCAGGCACATGGGGAGAAGGGCAAAGAATTCCATTGCCTGACAAAGTACCTCTGAGAAGAGTCGACAGCCTCAAGGTTCTCCATGCAAGGACTCCATGCATTGTTTTTGTCTTTAAAACACCACATTGTAAAACACTGCTTTAAAAAACAGAATACAGCCCACTAAGGTGGGAGGGAAGGGCATGTTGCCAAGTGCCCAGGGCTAGAGTGGTGACCCAAAGGGCCAGGCCCAAGGAGGGAAGGTGAACGGACCATAGAAGAGTGCTCACAAGCCCACCTTCAAGTTCTCATAATCGCTTACTGGATTAGAGTGACCAGGAATAGCCAATCCCCTCACCCAGCCAGCTATCAGAAGCAAACATAAATTATCTCTGCAAGAACTTAAGGTCATCCAGAGCCTCAAACTAGCTGTGCATTTTTGTATACATACTGTCTAGCAGTCAATCAAAAATGATCAGGTACTCAAGGAGTCAAGACTATTCAGTCAAAAACCAAGAGAAATACATAACCGTGGAAAACACCTACCCACAAATCATCCAGATGGTCTTGAAACAAAACCAGAACCGATCCAGATTGCAGAATTACTAGATAAGGATATTGCAACAGTCCTAATTCTACTCCATATGTTCAAAAAGTTAAATAGAGGTATAAAAAATCAATAATTGATAACCTTCCAAAACAGAAAGCACCGGACCAAGATGGATCCACTAGTGAATTCTACCCAATATTTAAGGAAGAAATTTTACTAATTCTCTAAAATCTCTCTTAGAAAACTAAAGACAAAACAGAAAACACTATTTTCAGAGGAAACAGAGTAAATACTTCCTTACTCATTCTGAGGCCAGCACTACTCTAATTCCAAAACCAGACAAAGACATCACAATAAAATTAAAAATCAATATATCTGATGAACATAGGTGGAAAACTCAACAATTATTCAAAATATCAGCAAATCAAATCAAATAATGTATTAAAAAATTATATACCATGACCACATGGGAGTTGGAGATTTATTCCAAATATACAAGGCTGTTTCAATGTTTGAAAATAATTAATCCATCACATCAACAGGCAAAAGAAAAAAAAATCACATGAAAATATCAAAAACGTAGGAAAAAAGCCTTTGACAAAAATCCAATAGCAATTCATCATAAAAACTATCAGTATAGTAGGAATAGAGGGGAATGTCCTCAACTTGATAAAGAGTATCCACGGTATACCAAGAGTTAATGTACTAAATGGTGAGAAACTATAAGCTTTCCCACCAAGATTAGAAACAAGACGAGGGCCCTCTTCACCACTCCTTTTCAACATTATACTGGGAGTCTTAGCCAATGCAATAACACAATATAAAAGGAAGTTAAAATGGAGCGCCTGGATGGCTCAGTCAGTTAAGTGTCTGACTTCAGCTCGGGTCATGATCTCATGGTTCATGAATTCAAGCCCCATGTCGGGCTCTGTGCTGACAGCTCAGAGCCTGGAGCCTGTTTCAGATTCTGTGTCTCCCTCTCTCTCTCTGCCCCTCCCCCAGTCATGGTCTTGGACTCCTTCTTGCTCTCTCTCTCTCTCTCTCTCTCAAAATAAATAAACATTAAAAAAATTAAAGGAAGTTAAAAGGTATAGTGATTGAGAAGAAAAAAACAAAACTTTGTGGATGATATGCTCACCTATGTAGAAAATCCAAAAGAATCAGCAAAAAAAAATTCCTAAAATGAAGAATTATAGCAAGCTTTCAGGATACCAATATACAAAATTCCATTGGTTGGTTGCCTATATACCAGCAATAAATAAGTGGAATTTGACATTAAAAACACACTACCATTACATTTGTACCCAAACAAATGAAATGCTGAGGGACAAATCTAACAAAACTGTATAAGTTCTCTATGAGAAAAAATAAAACTGTTGAATGAAATCAAAAAAAAGTAAATGAATGGAGAGGTATTCCATGTTCATGGATAGACTCAATATTATCAAAATGTCAGTTCTTCCCAACTTGATCTATAGATTTAATGTAATCCCAATCAAAATCAGCAAACTGATTTTAAAGTTTACACAGAGGCAAAAGACCCAGAATAGTCTCACAATAATGAAGAAGAACCACAGAGTTGGAGAACTGACACTATATGACTCTAAGACTTACTATGAAGCTACTCTAATCAAGACTGTATGGTATTGGCAAAAGAAAGGACAAATAGATCAGTGGGAGAGAAGAGAGAGCCAGAAATATAGTCAACTGAACTCTAGGGAACAAAGGCAATACAAAGGAGAAACCTGTAAACTCCTAAAAAATAACACAGGAGAAAATCTAGACGACTTAAGTTTCGTGATGACTTTTCAGATAAGCCACCAAAGGCATGATCCATGAAAGAAAGAACTGATAGGCTGGACTTCATTAAAATTAAAAATTTCTGCTCCATCAAAGACAACACCAAGAGAATAAGAAAACAGATATTAAATGGTGGACACATGTCATTATACGTTTGTCCAAACCTACAGAATGTACAACACCAAGACTGATCCCTAAGGTAAACAGTGGACTCTGGGTGACGATGACTGACGTGTCAATGTACCTTCATCAGCTGCAACAAATGCATGACTCTGGTGCAGGGTGACAGAGGGGGAGGCTGTGTGTCCAGGTTGGGGGAGGGGGCACAAGGGTTATATAGGAAATCTCTGTACCATGCCCTCAATTTTGCTGCGAATCTGAAACTGCTTTTTAAAAAATAAATAAGTCTTAAGACTAAAAAAAAAAAAAAAGGTAAAAAGTAGCCCCTAAAAAGAAAAAATGGAGGCAAAATTTCAGAGCAAGAAATAGTACCAAAGATAAAGAAATGTCACTTCATAACATTAAGAGTGCCAATTCACCAAGAGATCATAAAGATACTAAACGTGCATGTGCTTAATAACAGAGCTCCAAAACACATGGAGGAAAACTGATGGAAGGGAAACAGAGAAGCTCGCATCTCGTCACAGATTCCGGTACGCCTCTCTCAGTGAGTGACAGACCGGAGGCCGTGTGTAGAAGATGTGAAGAACACTATCAAGCAATGCGACCTGACACTTACCAACAGACATATGTGAAGATTCACAGCATTTTATCTGTAATAGTAAAAACTGACAATAACCTAAATGCCCATCACCAGGAGAATGAATAAATAAATTATAGCGCATTTGCACAACGGAAAAGTACTCAGTATTGAAAACGGATGAACCGTTGATACATGCGATAATGCAAGTAACTTCCAAAGTAGTGATTCTTAGTGAAAGTCGCCAGACACAAAGAGTACGCATGGTCTGATTCCACTGGCATAAAACTCTAGAAAATGCAAACTAATCTAAAACTTTTACTTAGAATACATAAAGAACTCCTTTATGTCAATAGGAAAGAGACAGATAATCCAACAGAAAAACAGCATGAGATTGGACACGTGTCACAAAAGAGAATGTCCAAATGGCCGATACATTTGCAAAAGGGGCTAAACCTCATTAATTATTATTATAATTATTATTATTATTAATTATAATTATCTGCCAAACTAAATATACACACTCAATATGCCTCAGCATCCATACACACAAGTGTACCAATAAACACACACACACATGCTTGTGGCAGTTCAAATATGGAAACGAAACAGATCTGCACCAATAATGGAAAGGATTCACTGTGCTCTGTCCATGCAGTGGAATACTACGCAGTGATGAAAATGTGGAAGGATCGCACGAACCTAACAGTGAATCAAGGACCGCACTCCCCCGAGTTCTAACACGAGCAGAGCTGGCAGGTGGCACCAGGCTCTGCGGGAGGAGAGCGGGGAGCAGAGGCTGAGAGGAGGCAGAGGCTGGATGGCAGCTGCCCACTTGTGTGCACCTGGGCACAACCACAACGACGCACGTAATATCTGGGACACGTTTTTCTGAGTCTTTCACACCTCACTGAAAAAGTGAGAAAGATCACGCTGGACCTCGGAATGTAGGCCCAACTCATCAGCATCCGTTGTGCTGAAGAAACACACAAGAACCTCTTGTAACTCAATGGGAAAAAAGTCAAACCATAGATTTCTCTTCAGTGACGATGCACAGCTTCTACTCTTAGTAAAGTGAGTGCCAGTGAGATGGCGAGTGAGAGGGGTCCTCAGGCAGACGCGGCACTGGCGCACGTGCGGACCCAAACTCCGGAAGCCCAACATGAAGATAAGGATTACCTCGACACCAAAAATGCTGACAGAATTTACCTTTTCATTTTGTACAACGAAACCCGTTTTTAAAAGCATTGAGATAATTACACTAGACACGGAATAATTTTTTAACGAAAACTCATGATGTCTTTAAAGCTGTCAGTTTGATGTGAAATATTCTGCAATAAACGTAATAAACTTCCTTAAATATGCAATATTTAAAATCTACAAAAATTCATTTTTGATTATATTAAAATGAACCTTTTCTTGCTTATATTTATTGAAGAAGAAATTTTTTGAATGAAGTGATTCCAGGCAGTTTATTTTCTAAAATTCAAAAGTGAACACAGCGGTTTTGTGCTGTTAACATTCTCCTCCCCTAGCTGGTGGCTGAGTCCGTGGAAGGTAACATCACCCAAACAGCGTCAGAGGAAAGGACAGGCGACCTCAAGGCTCTTCAAGTCATCTGACTCATCAAACAGCACAAAACGTTTAAATATCTGGTAAGAAGGGTCCTTGGTGCTCCACACGCAAAGTTCCTTCCCATCTAAAGGGAAAGCGCAGCACTGCAGGCCACAAGCAAGCTGAACGTGGGACACGGGCTCCTTAGATTCAAGCAGGCACTTTTCTGTGACAATGTCACCGCCGCAGCCACCATCGGCAGAGAAAATCCCCTGTGGCTCTTCCATCTTCAATCTGAAAATGCAGGGACACGGAAGATGACTTATGGGGGTGATAATTAACACAGATGACAGTCTGTTTACTCGCCATGATGAGTGTGATCACACACACACAGTATGTCACACCTGCTTACTCACTTCCCACACCCCACTCGCAAGACAAAGAAAGTCCTCAAGTTCTGTACACACGACTGCTCACTCCTCCCATGAACTTTCAGATTAAACAGACCTTAATTCAAATCCCCTCTTCCTGCTCATCAGACCTTGCTCAGACTTGCGGAATCTGCTTCCGCCACTGGATCACAGACAGAAGCGGACCCAGAGGCGGCCCGTGGCGGCGGCAGTCTACGACGCGGGAGCACCAGCACGGAGGAGCATTCACAAAGTCACCACTGAGACTGATTACCGCTATCCATAACGGAGATACAAAGTCATGCTCCCAGTTTTCCAAGCAAATCGGTGGTGAAGTGCAATACAGATCTCGATCTCCCACTGTCCACCTTGGAGCTATTCAACCATTTCACAACATTCTACGTCATTAAAGCAAATTGTCTCAGGTTACATAATCACTGTCTTCCAAGGCATAAATGGATGAACCATTGACAAAAATAAAAAACGTTTCAGGCTTGTGTCCCACCTCACAGGTGGTAAGTTCGTAAACGTGTTCAACGTACACACACAGAGCCCTAGAGCCACCCGATGCCTGCCTCACAGCTCACTCCAGGCACTGGACCTGAAAAGCTTCGCCCACAGGATTTGCTGACACGGCCAGGAGCAGAGAGTCTACGCGTCTGGTCACCACGCTGCTGAGCGGACTCGGAGGCTCCGCCACGGGCACCAGGCTGGCGTACAGAAGGACCAGGACAGACCTCCTGGGGCCGGAGCGGTCCAGACAGGAGGCCGCGTGGCACTGCCCGGCACAGATGGGGTGCAGGCTGCACGAGGGGGCAGTGGTCATCCTCCGGCGGGGCGAGCCTGGTGCGCTCCACAAGCGGCAGAGCGCACGGAAGGACCTCTGCTTAAGCTCAGCGGAAACGAGCTGCTGCAGGTTGCTGCACGAGGCTGTTCAGGAAAACGCACTCTCCGATCTGGCAGCACCGGGCAAGGTGGATCGAGAGGGACTGGGGTGGGGAAGGGCGAGGGCCGCGAACCCAGCGCCGTGCGGGAGCTCTGGCTCAGGGAGCCTGGAGAGCAGGGAACTCTCAGCCCTACCCCGCCCTCCCTCGCAGGACCCTTCTCTCTCCAGATCTCTCTTCACGGCACAACCCTGGCCTAGCTTCCAGGGACAGGGACGCCTCTGTGAACGTCGTCAACCCGTTGCTTTCCTGTGCCCATCAGAGCCCATCTATGCCTAGCCCTGCCTCTCTTCAAGAGGACTTTGGCCCTCCATACCCAAGCGCGAGACCGAGCAAATCTAGACGTACGATCTAGACTCCCCCCTGACCATGGTGGGGACACCACCTCGTTCCTGAAGGGCAGCGCTGCGGCCCTCGAGGCCAGCAAGGCTCAGCCTCCACACAGACGCTCCCTGCACACCCCCAGGCCGCTGGCTGAGCTCTGAGAACAGAACTGCTTCCCCTGGGCGCTAGCCTCTCTCCTGTCTGAAGGTCTCTCCTCTGGCTCTCCACCTCCCGGCCGCTCCCCCCTTCAGGTCTCAGCTGGGGGCCGCGGGCGCCCTGTGTGTGTGCCCTGTGTGCCCTCACCGTCTCCTTCCACCCCAAGCACCCGGACCCAGGCTGCCCCTGCAGAGGCAGAATGCGGGGCCGGGGTCAGGCCCCAGGGCTCCACCCCTCCAGCTCTGAGACGCTGGCTCAGATGCACGGGTGGTCAGGACCTGACTAGAAACCCGCATCTTAGCATCTCTAAGGCCGAGATTCCAGGCGAGGGGAAATATAAGTCAGAGGACGTACACTCCATGGTCTCCCACATAACAAGTGTTCTTTGTTATAACAAATACAAGGTGATTTTTAAAAACTTGAAAATTTTGCAATATTTGGAAAAAATAAACACATTTTGAATACATTAACACACATTCTTCCCCAATTCATGAACTTGGTTTTATTTATCACTCTTGCAATTGCCAAGACACAGCAGGGAGTTTCATATAAAAAATAGCTAAATGTTGCTAAGTTACCAGATTTGCTCTGTAGGTTTCATCATGTTAAAGTAACCAGTGCCTAGCTAGGTGGCCGTGGCCACAGCTACAGTGGTGATCAGATGGCAAGCATCTCAAGTGGACAAAATGAAAGTACCGTGTAGCTCCTTCCACTGCTTCCCCAAAGCATAAAATACCTTAAGAAACAGACAAAAGACTATATCAAACATCACAACTGTTCAAAAATCTCAAGCATTCACCCACTGACTGGATAAAGAAGACGTGGGGGAGAGAGAGAGAGAGAGAGAGACACACACGTGGGAGAGAGACACACACACACACAATGGAATATTACCCAGCCATGAAAAAGAATGAGATGTTGCCATTTGCAATGACACGGATGGACCTAGAGAGTACAATACTAGGTAAGATAAGTCAGTGCGGGAAAGACACATACGATATGATCTCACTCACATACGGAATTTGAGAAGCAAAACAAAATAAATAAAGGAAAACACAGACCAAGAAAACCAGACTCCTAAGTATGGATAACAAACTGGTGGTCACCAGAGGGGAAGTGGGTGGGTGACATGAGACAGATAAAGAGGATCAAGAACACACTTATGAGGAGCACTAAAAAATGTACAGAATTGTTGCATCACTCTACTGTACACCTGAAACTAATGTGACAATGTATGTTAATTACACTTGAATAAAAAACTTTTAAAAAAACACTACTTTGAGTAAAATATTTACATTTTCATAAGACATACGAAAATTTTTAAAAATAAAAAAGAATCCACTCGTCAAACTGTAATTAAATTTTGTCTTATTTCTTCAACATCAACTTTTTTTTTTAGTTTTTTTTTTAATGTTTTATTTATTTCTAGGAGAGAGAGAGACAGTGTGAGCAGGGGAGGGTCAGAGAGAGAGGGAGTCACAGACTGAAACAGGCTCCAGGCTCTGAGCTGGCTNTTAATGTTTATCATAAATTCATATCAATTTAGTAAACATTTCTTAACTTATTTTTTTTTTTAATTTTTTTTTTAATGTTTTTTTTATTTATTTCTAGGAGAGAGAGAGAGAGACAGCGTGAGCAGGGGAGAGTCAGAGAGAGAGGGAGTCACAGACTGAAACAGGCTCCAGGCTCTGAGCTGGCTGTCAGCACAGAGCCCGACGCGGGGCTCGAACCCACGAACCGCGAGATCATGACCTAAGCGAAAGTCGGACGCCTAACCGACTAAGCCACCCAGGCGCCCCATTCAACATCAACTTTTATACACCAAGGACTGTCTTAATCTCTTCTGTAATTCCTATAACATTCAGCACCATAATTTGCGAATAATAGCATCCGTACACCAACGTACCGTTTAAAAATCATTTTCACACATATGAACATGAAGATTTGAGTGTATCGATACATTATATCATTTGATGCTTACAATAATGCTTTACAGTTGTTAAATGCTTTTTTCCATCTTACAGGTGAAAAAATCAGAGGGCTTAGTAAGTGATGACGGTCACAGTGGCAGTGCCACGACGAGGCCCCACTTCTGACCCCTCGCTGGTGGCAGCTCTGCCGTGGCGCGCACAGAGCAGGGGCCGCAGGTCAGCTCCGCCGATCTAAGAAAGCTGCGGCAGCCGTGGCGACCCACGCAGGGCCAGCGTGGGTTCATAGTCACGCGGATTTGCAGGAGATGCTGGCTCGGCCACTCGCTGCTGCTCGAAGTGGCCTGGCACCTCTGCCAACGCCCACCCCACCTGCTGCAGGTGACCCGGCCGGCAGCTGCCCCCAGACAGCCTCTCAGAAGGGCTCGGCCAACCCTCAACCCACTCATTCCACCTGGGCTGCCTGAGAGCCACTCGATGATGCGTGTTCTGCCGCTGGCCTTTCCTCGCCCAGGCTGTGGTCCCCCGCCTCGAGGGCAGGCCGCCCTGACTCCCTCTCACCCACCACCCACGGGCTGCTGGAAATCCCTGCTGAGGCAGGAAGCCCTGGACGGAACTGTTTACTTGTTCAGGGACACCTAGGTAACCATCTGGGAAAGAATAACAGAAACAATTAAAAAGTGTAAACAAGAGAAAACTCAGCCTAATCCAACGTGAAGAAAGGGAGCTCTCTGGAGGGACAGACGTCTAACTGGAAGGTCTGTGTAGGACCCGCGCGCTGCCTGAGCCAGCCCGGCCTGGCCTCTCATCTTTCAGCTGTGCCTGTCTGTACGTCAGCTCTGGCTTCCACTTTCTGTTGCCATTTGTTGGCAGCACGGTGGCCGGCGGCTCCCGGGGCCACCCCCATGCCCTGGCGCACTGGGAGGGGCGGCCACCTCTCCCTGTCAAACCCGGAACATGTGGGAGTTCGGGGCCAGTCTGGACCACTTCTCGTCTTTGACTTTATTCTGTGAATAGAAGGATGCAACTATGCTGGCAAGTCAGCCCGAGGCGACATGGACCGTGACCCTGGGGCCTGGCCGGGACACGGAAGAGACTGGCCGCCCAAGCAAACTCAAGTACTACTGCCAGAAGAGGGACAGATACTGAGGGGAAAAAGCCATGTGTATTTAAGTACATATGAACATTCAGATGTTCAAGAAGGACAAACTTCAATACAACATACTCACAATGAATAAAATAAGAATACCCACAAACACAAAACTTCTGTTCTTCAGAAGACACCACTCAGTGAGTGAAAAGACAAGCCACAAAGTAGGAAGATGAGCAACACAGGGAGCTGAGTACATCCAGAACCTACAAAGAGTTCCTACAAATCTTCAGACACACAAGCCAATAGAAAACTACGCAAAAGCCACTTCATGAAAGATCTCCAAACGGCCAATTAACTAGAAAAGACGCTCATCCTCATTACCAGAGAAATGCAAGTTGGAATAAAAAATGAAAACCATACACCCATCAGAAGAGCTAAA